CTTAAGCATCGGGACTTGGAAGGAAACCATGCCACCGTTTGTCATTGCTCTATAAAGGAACCTTTAGGCTTTGATACCACTTTGTTGGAATTGAGAAGCTTTTAGGAAATAACAAAGGCTAAAAAACAACTTATGGAAGAAGCTTCACTTTTATTTAACACCTTTACTTGACTTAATACAAACTCAAAGTCTCCACCCCTATTTATACTAGTGGCACCTCCTAAATTAATGGCTAGGATTGTGCCACCACAATTCCAATCCAATTGTTACAAATAATTCCACACCTACCATACACTAATTCAACACCTACCACACCTACCACACCTACCACACCTACTACACAATAATTTCATACCTACCACATATTCTAGAATAAGCTTATAGAAATTAAGCTTTATTTAAACAATTAAAACCAAGTTTATATTTCAACACTTATAAGTGCGGGCGGCGTTTTCAAAACGCCCCCGTATCGTTTGGTTCGCACGTTTCACCAGCTTATCTGAAACTGCATTGAGTTTTTACACTAAATACAGGTCGCGGGTCAACCCCTGCAGCCAGCCCGCGGGCCACGTTTCAGGATAAGTTGCTTATCTTGAAACGCACAAGCTACCCCAAACAAATTCTAAGAGACTATTTGGTGGCACGATTTCCACAACTTTAATTAGACAGCTCCATTTCCTATCAATTTATTATTATGGCCTTTGGTTGTTAAAATTGGAACCTAATTGTTGTGCATTAGATATAAAGAGTGAAAAAAATGAAAGAAAAGAAGTTTAGGATTTATTTGGGATTAATTTTTTTTTATTATTATCTTTTTTTTTCAAAATTATGTTTGTTTGATATGTTTTTGTTGGTATATTCTTATTTTTTATTTCTAAAATAAATTAAAATGTTTTTTAGATTGCTTAAAGTAATTTTTGTATATTTTGAGGGCTTTTAATAATAATAATATCTTAATTAAATATATTGTGTTTCAATATAGATAAACACCAACAAAATAAATTAAAAGTAAAAAATAAATATAAAAAATAAAAAATAAAATGATCTCAAATGACCCCTTAATGAAATGATGTCACTTTTGTTTTTTTTTCCCACTTTTAATATTTTATTTTATTTTATTTATATTTTGATTTATATATTTGATTAAAATATTATTGTTTTTAACGGCACACAGAACATCAAACAAAAATTTGCATGTCTTCAAATGAAGAAATTATTGCATACGGACACCACATGCATCTCTGCATGCGCGTAGATGAAGGTGATCTACGGTCAGGATTATTTAAGTTTTTTTATTAAAAAAAAAATTCTGTGGGGCCCATCAAAATACATCCTGACGGTAAAGGATCGGACACCGCACACAAGATGCTTGCAGTGTCTGATCCGTATGGAATAATTTTTCCTTCAAATGCATGTGATCATGCAAAAAATAATAAATAAAATCACTTTAAAAACAAAAAAAAATAATAATAAAAATAAAAAATAAAGAAAAAAATTATTGCATTTTCGTACTTCCACTTTAAATCTAACTTCTAATTTAAATCTCAGCCACACATAATAACAAAGTGTGGTCCACACTGCCATTAATGTTAGCACAATAACGTGGTGTGATGCGTTCCACGAAGTTGCCCCAACGTTCGAAAGCAATAATTTGGCTACCTCCCAGGCTCCCACACCCATAAAAAGGTCATCTCCTTAACCAGCTGATATAAGGAAAAACAAAAAAAGCTCTTCTGCTTCATTCAGATTTTCATCTGAAGAACAATGGTTGCAGGTTCCATCAAAAGCGAGCATTTGTTGTCCGTTTCGATCGATAGAGTATGGAAAGCAGTCGCTTTTGATGGCTATAATTTGGTTCCAAAGGTAGTGCCTGATTTTATTTCAAGTATTGAGCTTTCTGAAGGAGATGGCGGACTTGGTACTGTGCTGAAGATTAATTTCACCGATGGTAAACTAAACTCTTATATATCCTTACAATAATGAAATGACATAAATGGAATTCTTAGTTAATATATAAATTATTCTCCTTCATTAACTTTAGAATATTGATGTTTACTTAGATTATTTTCAATTCATTGCAGCTGTGGAAAAGTTTAGAATTGCCAAAGAGAGGATTGAGGAAATAGATCCTGAAAAGCATGCAATAAAGTACACTATCTTTGAAGGATGGCACATTGGCTTAACGTTGAAGTCTTATTCAATTGAGGTAAAGTTTGAAGAGGTAAACAGCTCTGAAACTTTGGTGAAGCTCAACTTGGAGCATGACACCATAGAGAACACTCCTCTGGTTGTCGAGGAAGAAGAGGAGATCATGAAAGACTATGTTTTGATGTTAAAGGCAATTGAAGGATATCTAATTGAAAATCCAACTTCTTATGTTTAAATACTATATTTTCATGGGGGAGTGAATCTTATTTTGTGCTTGTTTATGTTTGTTGTTGTGCTAATAAGAACAAGTAACTTGTTCCTTCTGAATGATGGAGCGAGTTTATTGTGTCATTTCAAGAGAGAAGAATATGTTTCGTGTGTTTTTTTCCTCTTTTGTTTGTCTTTTGTTTATCTTTAAATGTTTGATGATGAATAAATATTGAAGTTCTCGATTGTTTTCTCCATTATTTTATTTTATTTTTGGATAAATATAAATTGAATACGAAGGATTGATCTTAATTTTCTAATATTGGTAGCTAGCAACTCAAGTCATTCACTTTTAATTTTTAAACATGGTCTGGTGACTACCAAACTCAAGTTTCATTAAATTGAAATTTAAGTGTGCCATGTTTATGCATTGATATATTTGCATTAAGTTGAAGAATCCCATAATAAGAACAAATAAAAAGAGAAGAAGAGAAAGTAAGACGAAAGGGGAGTCATATGAGATACTTTATCACAAAATTTTTTTCACAACATATAAAACTATCTATAAGTGCTTTACTATATATTTACATGTTAATAAAAGACCATTATATTTTAAAATGTATTAGCTAATTATTTTTTTATTAATATGATTAAGGATGATGTAAATGATAAATTAATTAAGCGATATACATCATTATTAAGTGATGTACAAATCATTCAAAATTTCCATGTGATACTTGCCATAGAGTGAGCTAATATCATTAAATTACATGGATCACTGAGCAAATAAATTGGACTTGATGTGTTGGATGGCAACCACTCAATTAGGGACAATTATTATTCCTGGTGACATATCACCTTCCATTTCACGTGTCCGGATTACCACAAGTGTCCTGATTTCTTGGTAGCCAAATCTTGTGTTAATCCATTTTCTTATTTAAGTTGATATATTTTCAACCTATGTTAATTCATCCTCCCATATGAACTCAAAACATCCTCAAAAGAAGTAAAGACCATGAAATATTATATTTTAAGTGTTGTCAGGTGCACAGTTAACATTTTATTGATTATTTTTTGTAAGAATTGTTCATAATTTTCTAATATTTGTAGCTACCAATAGGGGTTTAAACGAGCCGAACACGAGCGTGCCTTGTCTCAAATCATGTTCGGCTCGTTAAAAAATACCACTGTTCATGTTCGGCTCGTTTATATTTTGAACACAAAACATTTGTTCATGCTCGGATCGTTTGCTTAGTGAAATGAATACAAGTTGTTCGCGACCGAAAACCATTTTGACAACTCTAGTCATGCATTCAGCTGTCAGGGTGTAATAGAGCCGATCTTGAGCGAGTCCAGACTCGATTTGTTAAAAAATATCATTTTTCATGTTTGGCTCGTTTATATATCCAGCTTAAAAAATTTGTTTGTGTTTGCCCCACTTGCTTATAGAGTCAAACAAGAGCTATTCACAAACAATGAGCTATTTTGACAACTCTAATCATACAGTCGTAGGATGTTAGGGTTAGAGCGAAATTTAAATTTTATTTTTTATAATCAAATATTCATTTAAATAGAATTTAATATTTTCATTCTATTTTTAATTAGTAATTTTAATTGATTATATATATTTGCAGCGTCGTGGTTAATTAAACTATTTAAAAATAATATATATATATATATATGTATATATA